CTTTTAGGGGCGCGTTTGGGTCATGACAGTTGGTATCAGAGCACGAGTTGTTACCTCACACACGAGTTCCATTGAGCTTTAAGGAGTCTAGACAAGACTTGGGTCACATGCATGTTATCTTTTGTGCATATAATATGAAACATAGTAACCTGAATTGTATATGACTTGACCAAGGCTATGGACTATGAAATGAATATAGTTAATGTACACCTGTGTATCTTTTTGTGTGTATTATAATTTGTTGCTACGTAGATCATGGTGTCTTCCTCATATTGCATTTCTTGTTTGTGTGTATGGAGTCTGTGTTGTCCTTTCAACCTAGGGTTCTGTGTTCCACATGCTTGAGGTATTTGTGTTTGTGCTACAAATTTGAGCAACTGTTTTGACTACATGATGGTGTAATGTTGCCATAGGAGTTCTCTTGGTTTTTATATCAGTGATTAGCTTCACTAGGTCATTGATATTTTGCCATTGCTATTATGCCCATTTTTGCATTCTGCATTTCATTGATATTTGTCCTCCATGTTTCTGAAATGATATCATTGATATTTGTCCTTCATGATTATGCATTATGCGTTTACTGTTACTAATGCTCTCTGTCTTGTGCCTGTTTTGTTTTTCGGGTTTGGTTTCTTTTTGGCTTTGTTGGGATTTCGGGTTTTAGTCATCTCTCCTCTCATCTAAACATTTCAAAAAATCCTGTCCAACACTCTCGCACCAAACACATTGACATACGTCATCATTTTATTCGAGAGTTAGTGGAAGAGGGCCTTGTTGTTCTTGAGCATATTCCCACTGACCATCAAAAAGCTGATATTTTTACAAAACCCCTTGATCTTTTTCGGTTTGAGTTCTGGGTGTCATGCTCGATCACTAGAGTGTGACTTGTTTCTTGAGTAGGTGTAAGTGTTTTGCCTTATGTATGCTTGGATGTCATAATCTCATTGTCATTGATATCTGTTTTACTTGCATCCAACTTTTTACGTACACTACTCATGCTGCTTACAAGATCTCATTGTTCATTGGTCATAGCTCATTTTGAATGCCCATGCTCATTAACCTCATGATCTCATTCTGTACACATCATTGAGATTAATTGTTGCAGGGGTTTCCGCACAAGTGATCAAAGTTCTCTATGGACCACTAACAGTGTTTCTTGTACTTTTACAATGGAATTGACCGATACTAGCATATCATGGATGATGTTGAGTCTCTTAATCATCTACCATCTGTTTTCACTCCCACGGTTTCTCCCTCAGTTCTTTGAAGTCCGGGCATTAGGAAAAGGCTACCTCAGAGGCACCAACTAGGCCATCCTTTATGATTTCATTCTTCTCTAATTTGGTTTCCATACTCTTGAGAGTGAATGCCACCAATGAGTGCCCACAAGAAAGAAAATGTCAAAAAAAAAAAGGGGGGGACTCATTGATTGAGGGGGAACTCCGCATTTACTCAACAAATACCCCGTGATTCCTAGTGGTCTGACTTTTCTCTATATTGTTGAGTTACTCTTGATGGAGGTCCAGCCATCCGATCATTACTTGGATTAACTCTAGCTCAGTGTCCTCTCATGGATTGCACACACACACTTTCTTTTGTGAGCTCTCATGTTGGATTTTGAGTTGTACATTCTCATGTAGCTTATGATCATTGATTATATTTTATCTGCTTTGCTCATGATTTCCAGTGTCATTTTTTTTTCAAACATTGCAAGTTTACAGAATTCATGAATTGCGGATTATTACTTCTTCGTCGTCATTTTGGCTAAATGTGATCATCTACTTTTGTCCCAGGTCTCTTCTAGATATTGAGTTTCTTGTTTTATTTATAAAAAAAAAAAACCCGCTCGAGCGGATATTTCCACGCTTGAGCGTGTTTTTGCGCCTTGCAGTAGTTTGCTCTTTGCTTTACAGTTCTGAGAGAGGTATTTTTGCGCTCGAGCGTCCTTATTCGAGCTCGAGCGGGTGTCAGCTTGCCTTGACTCACGCTCGAGGGTTCCTTCATACGCTCGAGCGGACCTATTTTGTATAAAACTCCCTCCCTCGACTCTTCAGGTCATTTTTTTTCCTCATCTTCAATTTCTCAGACCTAGGGTTTGGCTCGTGGGCTTTGCGTGGTCGATTTCACCTTTCTTCTTCCTCTTCCTTGCCGATTTCCCCTTTGGTAGGTTTTACCCTCTCTTCTCCTCTGTTTTGTTTGATATTTCGGCACATTTGAGGGTTGTATTTCGGGTTTTTGGATTTTTTGTGTTTCATTTTTTTCCCCTTTCTCTCACACACTTTCACTGCATCGTCCTGTCTTCCTCATGCTGCATTTCTTGTTTGTATGTATGGAGTCTGTATTGTCCATTCAACCTAGGGTTCTGTATTCCACATGCTTGAGGTATTTGCGTTTGTGCTACAAGTTTGAGCAACTGTTTTGACCACATGATCGAGTCGTGTTGCCATAGGCGTTCTCTTGGTTTTTATATCAGTGATTAGCTTCACTAGGTCATTGATATTCTACCATTGCCATTATGCACATTTTTGCATTCTGCATTTCATTGATATTTGTCCTCCATGTTTATGAAAAGATATCATTGATATTTGTCCTCCATGTTTATGAAATGATATCACTGATATTTGTCCTTCATGTTTGTGCATTATGCGTTTCATGTTACTAATGTTCTCTGTATTGTGCCTGGTTTGCTTTTCGGGTTTGGTTTCTTTTTGGCTTTGTTGGGTTTTCAGGTTGTAGTCCTCTTTCATCTCCTCATGTCAGCCCCTAAATGCCGCAAGGCGACAGTATCTCGTCCATCCTTTAATTCTGAGAGGTTTCAAACTACTAAGCAAGACAAGTTGTTCCATAAATCTTTTGAGACTCGCACTGTTCACCTAGAACGGAATGTCCAGTCTAACACTTTCGAGTCCATCCCTATCCGTCCATTGTTTGATCCTCTCGGTGGTGATTTGGTGTTGTCTTTTTCTGGGCGTCAAAATCTCAACTGGGTCCGAGAATTTTACTGCAATATTGAACACATTAGTGATTTTGAGCCTTCATTCACTACTTGGGTTCGGTCCAAGTCCATTTCTGTCACACCTGCTCTCATTCGCCATCTTCTTAAGATTGATCAAGTGTACCCTCAACACTATCCTTTTCCTGTTCCAGGCCGTCCTACCTGTGATTTCCATACTGTGACTGAGGTGTTATGTGGTTCTTCCCGTCCTTGGCCTACGGGCGCTTTGATTAAACAGTTTGAACTTCTTCCGGAGTTTAGACTGCTTAATTTGATTGTTTGTGCAAACATCCTTGTGACCACTCACTCCTCCGAAATTAATCATGACCAAGGTTTTGTTTTGTTTTGTATTGCCCGTCACATGTCTATTGATCTAGCTACCCAGATTATTAGGAAAATGATAGGTGTTTCTGGAAATAAACAGTTAGGACTTCCTTATGGTTGTTTGATCAACCGTCTTTTGTCTGCACTTGAGGTTCGAGTGTTAGAGGATGATGAGTTTGCCTTCCCTTCCCGACCATTCACAAAGAAAACTGTTTCTCAGAGTCGGGCTCATGTTGAGGGGGAGTCTTCTCGGGCTGATACTTCTGCCGGTACCACTGCTGGCCTAGCTGAGGAGGCTGAGTTTGACGCTGCAGCAGCCGGGGGTGAGGAGGATGCTGTTCCACCTCGAGCTTTTTCTGATCAGCTTCAGCTTTTTGACGCGACTATGACCCGGCGCTTGGACCTTCTGGATGCCCGCTTTGATGCTTTTGATGGTCGCCTTGGTCAATTGGAGCAGACTGCTGTCCACACTACTTCTCAGCTGGCCCACATCATTTCCTTACTTCAGATTCAGCAGCCACCACCTCCCCCTGGTGCATGATTCATTGATTCCCGGTCAAAAAGGGGGAGATCGGTGTTATAGTGGTGCTCTTTTTGTGATGATCTTTGTGGTATACATTTTTTTTGATATTTTGTTTCTATGGATATTTTGTTCATATTTGGATATGTTGGATACCTTGTTGATATTCGAATAGGTTGTAGTTGGTGGATACTGTATCATGGTTCTCTTTTTATGTATGTTTTGGTATATTCTTATACAGTTCCACAAGTTTTGTTTTTCTGGTATGTTGATAGTTATTTCACAGGTGAATGTTGAATGAAGTTGGATGGATTGATCACAGGGCAAGATTGTTTGATAATAGAGTTGTTTAGAGTTTTTTTTTTTTATTATTATTAATCTTGTCTAGTGCGTGTGTTTAAGGACATTTGTTTAGAAAGGTTTTGTCCGAGAATTGACAAAGGGGGAGATTGTTAGGTCCCTTGATTGTCAAATCCAGGTAAAAAACTTTGTGTTGAACAAGTTGTAATTTTCCTGTGTTTTTTGTTCTTCCCGCTTGAGCGGGACCATTGGCGCTCGAGCGGATATTGTAGTCTCTCAGTATTTTGACAAGTCTGTAAAAATACTGGAATGCATGATTTCGCGCTCAAGCGGGCCATCAAGCGCTCGAGCGGAACTCTGTTTTGTCGCTCGCAGATTTTGCTGAAGACGCTCGAGCGGGATGTTGGCCGCTCGAGCGGAGATCGCGGACTCAGGATTCCTATTTATATCTGTTTAGGTTGTTTTTAGGACTACTTTTCTTAGATCTTATTCAATAGTCCTAGGGTTTGGTTAGAAGTATGGTTCTGAGGTTTTTTTGTGAATTTTCCTTGATGTTTTGAGAAGAGTTCTTCAATCATGATCTAAGATACATACATCAAGGAGTTGGTTACTTTAAATTCAAGAGAGAGATCTCTTCGGTGGATTCCGAAGATTCAAGCGTAGAGTATCAAAAGGAGTTTGATTCTGTACATAGTCGTTCATTCGACAAGTGAAGTTGTGGATTCAACTTCAGGATTGATCAATTCATCCATCTGTCGCCTAATTTATACAATAAAATTTACATAAGTATGCATAAATTTAGAAAAGGATAACTTATGATAAATACATCATATAAAAGAATATGTTATATGTAGTTATACCTGCAAACCACTAGAACTATGTCTTTATCTCATCAAAAATGTTACTTGCTCTTTTAAAGAGTTTATTACAGTATCTTGAGCTTGCAACTGAATACCTTGAGTTTGTAACTGATCACCTTGAGTTTTTAGTTGTTCCTTCAACTCAATTATAGTGTCTTTGTCTCTCATTCTCTCTTCATCAGAAACCATTCTTAAGTGGTCAAAATTATTGCACATGAAGCCATGCTTGGAAGGAGTAGGCCCAAATCCTAAACCTCGAACACAACCATGATGCTCTTTACCCATCACTTGAGAATAAATATCATTTGGTGACCAAGATATACGGCCATTAACATTTCCTTCGGGGCTACTTGGTTGTGAGCTCATCAAAGCTTCTAGTTTTTCCTATAGCATAAATGGGGGTAAAAAAAAAAAAAGAAGACAAAGAACGAGAGTGATTGTTTGCCACAAACACATTAGAATTTTGAAAATGCAACTTATTAAAAGGGCATACAATTTTTGTAGCTGCTGCTTCATTGACTGGTGTCCCATCCTTCCTTTTGTGAAGCAGTATATATAATTTTGCTTGATCTAGTGCAATCTTATCTTTTTGCTCCTATGTAACAATCATATCGTTTCAGAATAAATTCATAATACAACGTGCTAACCAAGTTCAAAATATAAAACAAGGAATGAAGTTTGAAATACCATATCATATGCATGTTGTGCATAAGTTTTAGATCCTACTATGTGCACTTGTTTGCTCTCACCGGCTTTCCTTATTGGTTGTACTAAGTTCCTTCACTCATAAATGCATAACAATATGTTTAAAAAAAAATGATATAATGACATTGTATTATTTTATAGAAAACATACATCTATGCATACCTGTCCTTCCTTTGAAAACCAATACGCGACAAGGTCAGCATAGTGCTCACGATTAACTATTAAAGGCGCAGTAGCTACTATCTGTGCTGCTGCCTTTGTCTCATCATAGTACTTTTTCTAAACTACATTTCCAATTTCTCCATTTCTCTCCCATTGACTTCAATGTTCGATGCCTAATCATATCCCTTCTCTCATCTTGAGAAATAGCAAACTTGGACTACAATTGTATGTTTTTTCATATTATGAACATTCTTAAAATTATCAATACAATAATATAAACTAAATTTGTGCATTTCTTTGCCTACTTCTCATATTTTTATTTTTACTTCAACTATAATAACATGGAAGACTGTCTTTTTCACATGCATATGATCTCTCTTATAGTAGAATTATCACAAAATACTTGCAGTTAGAAAATTACCTCGATAATATTCCAACAATCTTCTTTACACTGATTTGGCACTTCATGCCAATTCTTGTACTTAATTGGGCAAAAGTGTGGCTTCCTAGCAATGGTGCCTATGAAGCGACTAAACATACCACCCTCTGTAAAAATAGCCTGCAAATCCTTGTTGAAGGTGAGCATAATGCGTTCTTCTGGAGTCAAATTCCACACTTCAACCATACGTGTAATTCCTCGTGTGTTTCGCTTGGTCAATGCATCTATTACAATACAACAACGAAATATATCATGGAAGTGAAGGTTGACTTGTAATTTGTGCCTCAACTAAAAATCTAATAATACCTGTACGTTGCATCTCTTCTTCCCTTGACCAGTCCTCATCTAAATCATCTTCAAACTGAGGGTTAACCTCTGATTCTTGAGGCTAAGGGTGTGGAACATGTGACGCAGCATGTGAGAAGGGATGTGACCAACGAGGTTGTGAAGAGCCATTTGATCGACTAGGCTGTGAAGTTCCATTTGGCCGATTAAGTTGTAAAGAGGCATTTGAACGACTAGGTTGTGCAGTTCTAAGAGGATTATGTTTAATGTAACACCTTTTTTTGGAGGAGCAGCTCCTAAGTTACAGAAAACACCAAGTGTAAGGCCCCGGTGTCCCACATCGGGAATGGAGGGAGAGTTCCTGGACTATAAAAGTAAAAACCTGTACCCTTATATAGCATCGAGGCCTTTTCCCAAATGGTGAAATCCCTGTTAGAACTCCCCAGTTAAACGTGCTTAGGCTGGAGTAGTTCTAGGATGGGTGACCCACTGGAAGAACAAATCCGTGCGGGCATGGCCCAAAACAGACAATATCGATGACGTGTAAAGGGTCGGGGCGTTACAAATGGTATCAGAGCCGACTCTCCGGAGTACCGAGTGTGAGCCCCTGGCGTCTCTCGGTGCATGTGGGTGGGCTTGCGAGCTGGCAGGCTACTGCACGGGGACGTGCAGCCTTATGGGGGGTGGATTGTAAGGCCCCGGTGTCCCACATCGGGAATGGAGGGGGAGTTCCTAGACTTTAAAAGTAAAAACCTGTACCCTTATATAGCATCGAGGTCTTTTCCCAAGTGGTGAAATCCCTATTAGAACTCCCCAGTTAAGCGTGCTTAGGCTGGAGTAGTTCTAGGATGGGTGACCCACTGGGAAGAACAAATCCGTGCGACCCTTTACACGTCATCGATATTGTCCGCTTTGGGTCACGCCCGCATGAATTTGTTCTTCCAAGTGGGTCACCCATCCTAGAACTACTCCAACCTAAGCACGCTTAATTGGAGAGTTCTAATAGGGATTTCACCACTTGGGAAAAGGCCTCGATGCTATATAAGGGTACAGGTTTTTACTTTTATAGTCCAAGAACTCCCTCTCCATTCCCGATGTAGGACACCGGGGCCTTACAATCCACCCCCCATAAGGCTGCACGTCCCCGTGCAGTAGCCTGCCAGCTCGCAAGCCAGGGGGAGTTCCTGAGCTATAAAAGTAAAAAACTGGACCCTTATATAGCAATCGAGGCCTTTTCCCAAGTGGTGAAATCCCTATTAGAACTCCCCAGTTAAGCGTGCTTAGGCTGGAGTAGTTCTAGGATGGGTGACCCACTGGGAAGAACAAATCTGTGCGGGCGTGACCCAAAGCGGACAATATCGATGACGTGTAAAGGCCCGCACGGATTTGTTCTTCCCAGTGGGTCACCCATCCTAGAACTACTCCAGCCTAAGCACGCTTAACTGGGGAGTTCTAATAGGGATTTCACCACTTGGGAAAAGGCCTCAATGCTATATAAGGGTACAGGTTTTTACTTTTATAGTCCAGGAACTCCCCCTCCATTCCCGATGTGGGACACCGGGGCCTTACACCAAGTGCCATTTGAAGAGACTACGGTATCTCCTGGGTTGTGAAGGATGCCTGTGAACTGTAGGTGACAAAATAGTACTTGGTGCTGATTTGGATTATCTTCATATGTTATATTTGAATAGTTGGGAAAAAAATATATATATATATATATATTGTGTTAGGCTTGTAAAATAGGTTTAAAGTTCGGAAAAGTGGTCATGTTCTAGTTTTGGATTTTAATGGGTAACATAGAGCAAAAAATTAAAGAGCGGAAGAGGAAAGGCGAGATGAGTCAAGGAATCACTTCTAGGCATCATAGTTCACAACATGGGTTGACTTGCATCACAATCCTAAAAGTGCATAGTTGCTGAAAATACCCCTAAAACTTGTTCTCTTTGTTGATTGAAAAATCAGTATTAGCTATGGACTTATAGGCAATTCTAGCACTACTTATAGTTAACTCCATATATGCACTATCTTGACTATTAAAACCCCTAAGAACTATATAAATAAAAAGATCCAATAACCTAACTTGATCGTTACTACGACTCATGAGCTTACCAATACACTACATGAAAAGAAAATATGGAAATTTTTAAAATACTACTGATTCATATAAAACATAGAACATACAAAAAATTGACCACAAGCTAACTTAAAAATTAAACTATACTATGACCTATAACTTGGTTATGTAGGGTCCTATTCCTAATAGGCCCCACTTTGAATCGTGCTAATTTCTGAAGTTTCTCTTTAATTTTACTTTTACTTGTGGCTCATCTAGACTGCATCCTTATGTAGGAAGATCTATTGTAGCTACCCTAGACTCCCTTAATGCTGGGAATATAAAAATTTGAAACTTCTAAAGGATACCACTATTTTTATGGCCAATTACTGCAAACCTTTACTGGATCCAGTCTACATCATGAATTTATGATATTTCCTAGCTTGATTAGTTGCCATCTTCAATTCACATGATTGTCATGAACTGTATTGAGCCTTTGCCCAAACCTTTGTATCCTTTTATGGTTCGACTCCATAAATTTGCCACAATTTTGCTCAAATGGAAATAAGGGTTTAATTGAAACAAGTTTTTAAGTTGCCTAGTTTAGTAACCATTATGGTATACCACATTTTTGGATAGCTTGTTCCAGAGAGACCATTGAGATGCTACTGAATTTTGGTGACAGTGCTTTGATTTTTTATTTTATTTCTTCCTCGGGTTCTACATTTTCACTTTGGTTTTACTTTCATCTTTCAAACATGAGTCGGTTGAAGTCTATGAAAGTTCTAAGGCAAATGTAAAAAATGTCACTGGGGTTAGGAACTCTGATTTCTGGTTAAACTCCATTAGTCCCAAAATTGGAAATTGATCGTGGTTCTTTACTGAGAAGTCACCCTTTTCGGCCTTGTCACCTGCTGTAGCGTCTTTCCTATTTCTTCATTATTAACCCACATCATTGCCTGTCTCATTTAAGAAATATAATCTACTCTAAGGATATTTTACAGTACTGTATTATAATCTAGGGCGATAACTTAACTCTACATTGCAGGGCATCTATGGTATTTTTGATCAAGATATGATAATGTTGTGGGATGATCTCTATGATGCGACTAATAATTACACAGAAAGATGGCTTACTTCTGCTACATATTATCTTAGAATGATGAATTTGCAGAGCAACTCCTTTTCTCTTAGTTATTCTTAATATTCAATTATATGGTGCTAGGTTGCTAGAATCTTGCTAAAGCAATGGATTCTAGAGTTTATCGTTTTCATTTTGTGGGAAAAGGTGTGATAGCTGAATAAATTGATTTTATATATATATATATATATATATATCTTTGTGTGAGAGTGTGGAAATTTTTGGGTAAAGTAGACCAACAAGGGTTCCACTTGATCTTTACAAAGTCAAAAAGATCCAAATTCCAAAAAGGCAGTGTTCCCTATGAGATAGCATTAATAATTTCACATAAACTCAAGTTGGTAATGTTGTAAATCCAAATTACTACATGTATAATTCCCTTGAAACCAGAAAACATGCATCTTTGTTTATTTATCTCATGGTTCAATGCATGAATGCTTTCATAAACAAGAAGCAATGACCATAAAAAGAGGCAACAATTTTCTCTAATCACATTATTAAGCCAACAAAACATTACAAATTGTGCATTAAATTCATAAACAACAATTTTCTCAACACAAAAAAAAAAAGAACTAGTTGTGCCGTCTTGCATATTGATATATAGAACTTGACATTGTTGAGGTGGCATGCAATTCAGTAAGAACCCAAAACTAGTGTCTATGAAAATGATATTAGATGCCCTGGCTGCACACAAATGAAACAAAACATATCTAACAGTAGAGTTCCATAAAATAGTAGACTCATGTGTGCACTAGGATTTGATAACTGGGTTCAAAAATAGGTAGGAGATGGAAAGTTATAATTTGTTGAATTTCAATTTGGAAGGTCTGCTTGTTTTTTTCTATGTTCAGCTGTATCAATTGAACCTGCACATCTATAATGACCAATTTCATACATCTAAATTTGCTTCATAGTTGATATTGAACAAGACATTGGTAAGAATGGCCATGAGTTGTTTATAATGAAGCCATAAATGTCTATTTTGATGCAGCTTTACTAAAGTAAACCTTTCATTTCTATGACTGAAGAAATGAAAGGAAAGAGTAGTAAGTTCACTAATTTTGTTGTTTCATGTATCCCTTATATAGATAGGTCCTTATTGTCTTTGGATTATTGTAGTAAACGAGTTCGGGCATATTATAAATGTATAGGTTTCAATAACACACTGGAAGCATTAAAATGAGTTGGTACATGTCCTTGAAATATTAATTTTAAAGCTACAAATTCTTATTTGGAATAATTGATAGTCAACTATGTTGGTAACTCGGTCACATTTTGCTGGTAAGTGGGATATCAGAAGTACCTGAAGCATGATATAGATGATTGACATCATGTAATTGACACACTTGATGTAGATAAAAAAAAAGTTAATAGGCAATGTTTTTCATGCAATATTTCAGATACAAATGAGATTTTGAATATTTGGGATAATAAAATGGCAACACTACAAAATAAAGCAAGTACTTTGGGGCTAAGAAAAACATAACTGTATGTATATATATGTGTAAGGGGCAATATATATGATTGGAATATTTATCCGGAAACATCAACTATATTGGGTAATGATGTCTATTAATGAGCACGAGAATAGGAAATACAACTGTGTAAAATAAGAAGTGGCTTTTTGATGAAGTGTCGTGGGTGAACTCAGTCCCACTTAATTGGAATAAAACATAGCCCCAATAGGATGGACTAGTTGATCAGTTTCAGTATTATCTTTCCATATACTTGGGATGAGGAATGAATGAGGACTTATGAATTGTCTCTATCATGATCTTGTGAGCATCTTTATTACTATCATTATTATGATTATTATAATGATTGTTGTTGTTAAGATCATGTTCAAACCAATAAACAAAAATGTAAGCATTATTACTCCATTGTGGCATTTTATCAAACACCTAGCATACATATCCTCAAGCATGAGATTATATTATGTAGCATCAACAACAATCCATTCACTTCACTAATTATATTGGTTAAAATATGAATATCATAGATGATAAAAAATCATAATACCAAACATGTTAATCAATCTATTTTCTAAATTATTTTCCCAAATCAAAATCATTCAAGATGTTCATGAAATCATTCAAAGTAGAGAAGTTTTGGAGATATTAAAAGCAATGAATGGAATGGCAAGTCTTAGGTTAACAATGAATTTCATTCACCCAAACTTGACCGAAGACAGTAAGGGAAAAAGAGAAACAGAGACAATAGAAGAAAGAGAGAAGGGCAGAGAGATAAACCGAGAGACAAGAAGAAAGAGAGAGATAGAGAAAGAGAGCAAACTGACCTTGAAATCATAGTGATGCTATAGCTTGATATCGTCAATACGTCGCGGGGAGAATGAACTCTGATACTTCGCCAAAGAAGTGTTGTGGAGTAGGGCACAAATTGTGAGTTGAACGGTTTATTTCTGGGCTGAAATTCTGATATGTTATTCACCCATAAAAATAAAAATAAAATAAAAAATCTGATTTCGCAGGAAATCAGAGTTGAATTTGGCAGGCCTTTAATTTGCTTGACTTTTTGTGACGGTTGAGTACAACCCGTCACTATAAAAAAACATGTGGCAGCGTTTTAGGAAAAAAATGCTACTAAAAATTTAATTTTTAGTTGTGGTCAATAACCGCTACAATAGCCCATCTATAGCAGCATTTTTCAGGCCGCTGCAATAAAAAAAGCTGCTAAAACCTGATTTTCTTGTAGTGTGCCCTCCAACCCTCACGACCAACAACTCTATGATTTCTTCCAAAAGATCCGGAATTTTCAAACTAATGCTGCTAAACTTGATACCACTAACAATAAAAAGAACATGGTTCATGGGAAACCAATTCTAAAAAAGGACACTCTTACCAAGATGGCACAAATTGAAAGAGAATTGAAGAAGCTCCAAATCTACCAACTTCAACTCTGCTTGACGAGGGTAGAATTGATCTGCGAGTAAACAAAGCTAGTTCTAGAGTAAGTAAAGTAAGATAACTTATGGTTTTTGGTTTGATTTTGACTGATATAGAAGAACAAGAAGAAGAAGAAGACAAGAGTGGTCCATAGGAGCAGTGCATAAGTCAAATGGAATGGTATACATCTTCACATAGCTTTACAACTTGAATACAGTTAGAAATGAAGTACAAAAATACATTTTACTTCTTGATCAAAAGACTTCTCCAGCCGACGTGTGTAAATTACAAGCGTTATAAGCCGAGAAGCATAATTTTCAAGATTGCCGACATGAATACAAGTTAGGCCGACATAACAAAAACCCAAAACAAGCTTTGCGAGTCACACCTAGGCGTCACCGCCTTCCTGCTCATCACCTACATATATATATATATAGAGAGGGTGAGCTTGGATACTCAGTGAATGGTACAAGTAATAAAGGGTTTGCATATATGACATCCGAGATCCTTAAAAAACAATGCATAATCATAGCTTATGACAACCGTGGAATAAATCGAGTTCATCTAACAAATCTATCGAGCTTCATCAATCAAAGTCTTTTAAGCACGTACGGACTTTCAAGATTGTGCTAGAAATGCTTATAGTCCCCTAGCACGTACGGACTTTCAAGGTTGTGCTACAAATGCTTATAGTCCCCTAGCACGTACGGACTTTCAAGGTTGTGCTACAAATGCTTATAGTCCCCTAGCACGTACGGACTTTCAAGGTTGTGCTACAAATGCTTATAGTCCCCTAGCACGTACGGACTTTCAAGGTTGTGCTACAAATGCTTATAGTCCCCTAGCACGTACGGACTTTCAAGGTTGTGCTACAAATGCTTATAGTCCCCTAGCACATACTGACTTTCATGGTTGTCATTCAAAACAAGGCTAGTGCTTGATACACAAATAGTCATTCATGCTTAGCAAATACTTTTCAAGACAAGACAAAGCTTTATCAAAACATTATAACATAACATTATTAAAAATACCACTGACCTAGTTCTTCAACGTCGGGGTCAAGCGAGAGTCCAAGTCCTACAAACACATGGCAAGGTCTATTGAATGCAGGGTCTGACAAGACTCTGTAAACTGTCCCGACATTGATTCCGGTTAGTTTCTACAAGGGTCCAGCAAGACTCCGTAAACTGTCACCACCACTGTCACAATAGTGTCTGCTACAACGGTCCGACATGACCCCGTAAACTGTCTGCTACAACGGTCCGACATGACCCCGTAAACTGTCTTCTACACCGGTCCGACATGACCCCATAAACTGTCCTCTACATGGTTATGACACCCCCATACAGTGTCCTCTACACCGTTATGACACAACCATTCAGTGTCTTCACCAACGGTCTGACACGACCATACAGTGTCTCCTATCCTTTTTTTATTTTTATGTATTTTCTTATTTTGTTTCTCTCTTCAAACTCAAGTTGGTTAGTTTCTATCCTCCTTGAGTTTGCGGGGGGCTGTTAGAATTTACCATCACCTACCACCACTACCACCTCACCTACTCCACTAAACCTAACCCACTACACCACTACCACCTCACCTACTCCACTAAACCTAACCCACTACACCACTACCACCATCCACTACACCTACATCTATATAAGGAACCATTTGTAATAGACAGAATATCAATCAAGATAACATTACATCAATCAATAATAATACATACAATTTATTCTCTCTCTTTTTTTCTATACATTATTTCTTACAAGAAACAAAATATAGAGAAAGATTAACTTTTCATTCTCCACAAGATTGACAACAAGCAGTTCCACTTTATGCCACTGTTTCCAACTCTCAGTTTGCCTTTAATCGTTGGCCACATTTGCAATCTTCTTGAAAAGCAGAAATCCATCTCCGAGTACTATCTATATAAGGAACAAGATTAAATATAATTCCTATATAAATGCATACATATATGGAGTTATTAAACCAAAATAATACATATACAAGCATAGGTACCTTATTGCTAGTTAGAGAGAATATAATATATTCAAAAAGCTGTGGACAATCTTACCTAAAAAGCATACATATATGGAGTTATTAAAGTTAAAGAGAAAATAATACATTCAAAAAGCTGTGGACAATCTTACGTAAAAAGCATGACCATATTTTTGGTACAAAGCCCAACCAACATGAATGTACAGATCATGTCAAAGATAATTTAACAATCGAAGTGGGCCATATGTGTGGGTAGAAGACCAAATATCAGCACAACAGTACATTGATATATTCAATAGATATTTTGGTTGAGCATACAATAATTTAAAACAAGTTTGCCCACAAGCAAGATATTATTTTAAAACTCGATGCTGAAATAAAAAAAGATATCCCTATTTTTAATTAATGGTAAATATAATTGGCTTCGAATTTAAAGGCCCAATCAAATGCAAGTGTATGAAAAGTAGGCATTAAGGGAACACAAATAGATGACGGGAAACATTGAGTTCATGAAAACCAAGTCATAGGATTGGCAACAGTTGCTACTAGGAAAACAATGTATCCATTCCGTCAAATTCAAGAAGATTAAGCCACTATATTTCAACACAATGAAGGAGTAAGAAAATTACCAACCAAACATCGAGTACTCATTCCAATATTAAGGAGATGACTCAAATTAAATTAAGTTGTTAAAAATATTGCAGTACAACGTTCAAGGTTGATAACATCCTAAGATTCCACTTTGTGCCATTTCCATGGAGTGAGAAACCCAGTACTGAATAAGCAGCCCATATCTAACCCCACCCTCAAATGCCCTGTTGTTGAGAGCAAGGATCAAGAGTTGAAGAGGGCTAAGGCTGTGAAAGTGAAGGTGAATGCAGATGGGGTTGAGGACACGTTGAACAAGACTACTACTGCTACTACTTGTACTACTTCTGTTTCGAAGAATGTGTTTTTTCAGAGACTGTGGAGTGTTGATGATGAGATTGTGATTCTGCAGGGTATTATTGACTACATTGCCACCAAAGGCGCGGACCCCTCTGCCTACATGAATGCTTTTTTCCTTTTCATCAAGGATTCTATTCATGTTAATGATACCAAGACCCAATTGTCCGACAAAGTCCGCAAGTTGAAGAACAAATACAAGACCAATGCCATCAAAGCTAAATTGCCCTCCAATCCCCATAACCAACAACTCTATGATTTATCCCAAAAGATCTAGGATTTTCAAACTAATGCTGCTAAGCTTGATACCACAAACAATAACGAGGGCGTGGTTCATGGGAAACCAATTGTAAAAGAGGGTGCTCCTAACAAGATGGTAGAAATTGAAACAGAATTGAAGAAGCTCCAAATCTACCAACTTCAACTCTACTTGAGAAGGGTAGAATTGATTCGCGAGAAAACAATTTCTTACTCCTTCAATGTGTTGAAATACAGTGGCTTGATCTTCTTGAATTTGATAGAGCAGATACATTGTTTTCTTAAAATATAAAACCTGAGGAAACAATGTATCTGTTCTATCAAATTCAAGAAGATCAAGCCACTGTATTTCAACACATTGAAGGAGTAAGAAATTGTTTTCTCGCGGATCAATTCTATCCTTCTCAAGTAGAGTTGAAGTTGGTCGATTTGGCGCTTCTTCAATTCTCTTTCAATTTCTACCATCTTGTAAAGAGTGCCCTCTTTCAAAGTTGGTTTCCCATGAACTACGCCCTTGTTATTGTTTGTAGTATCAAGTTTAGCAGCATTAGTTTGAAAATCCTAGATCTTTTGGGACAAATCATAGAGTTGTTGGTTATGGGGATTGGAGGGCAATTTAGCTTTGATGGCATTGGTCTTGTTTTTGTTCTTCAACTTGCGGACTTTGTCGGACAATTAGATTTTGGTATCATTAACATGAATAGAATCCTTAATGAAAAGGAAAAAAGCATTCATGTAGGCAGAGGGGTCCGCACCTTTGGTGGCAGTGTAGTCAATAATACCCTGCAGAATCACAATCTCATCATCAACACTCCGTAGCCTCTGAAAAAACACATTCTTCGAAATAAAAGTAGTACAAGTAGTAGCAGTAGTGGTCTTGTTCAGCGTGTCCTCAACCCCATCCGCATTCACCTTCACTTTCACAGCCTTGGCCCTTTTCAACTCTCGATTCTTGCTCTCAACAACAGGGCATTTGAGGGTGGGGTTAGATATGGGCTGCTTATTCAGTACTTGGTTTCTCACTCCATGGAAATGGCACAAAGTGGAATCTTAGGATGTTATCAACCTTGAACCTTGCACTGCAATATTTTTAACAATTCAATTTAATTTGAGTCATCTCTTTAATATTGGAATGAGTACTCGATGTTTGGTTGGTAATTTTCTTACTCCTTCAATGTGTTGAAATACAGTGGCTTGATCTTGTTGAATTTGATGGAATGGATACATTGTTTTCCTAGTAGCAACTGTTGCCTATCCTATGACTTCGTTTTCATGTACTTAATGTTTCCCGTCATCTGTTTGTGTTCCCTTAATGCCTACTTTTCATACACTTGCATTTGATTGGGCCTTTAAATTCGAAGCCAATTATATTTACCTATTAATTAAAAATAGGGATATCTTTTTTTATTTCAACATCGCGTTTTAAAATAATATCTTGCTTGTGGGCAAACTTGTTTTAAATTATTGTATGCTCAACCAAAATATCTATTGAACATATCAATGTATTATTGTGCTGATATTCGGTCTTCTACCTACACATATTGCCCACTTCAATTGTTAAGTTATCTTTGACAGGATCTGTACATTCATGTTGGTTGGGCTTTGTACCAAAAGTATGGTCATGCTTTTTAGGTAAGATTGTCCACAGCTTTTTGAATATATTATATTCTCTCTAACTAGCAATAAGGTACCTATGTTTGTATATGTATTATTTTGGTTTAATAACTCCATATATGTATGCATTTATATAGGAATTATATTTAATCGTGTCCCTTATACAGATAGTACTCGGAGATGGATTTCTGTTTCCCAAGAAGATTGCAAATGTGGCCAACGATTAAAGGCAAACTGAGAGTTGGAAACAGTGGCATAAAGTGGAACTGCTTGTTGTCAGTCTCGTGGAGAATGAAAAATTAATCTTTCTCTATATTTTGTTTCTGTATGTAAATTTGGGCTAATTTTCATCCATCATTTTTCTAACTACTGATGTATGAATTAGCTCTCTTCTTGTTAGTATAAAATTTTTTAGCATAAATTCGGTTCCTTAGGTTTAAGATAAAGATGTTATTTACTCTCCTAGTCATAGTGTGCTCTCATTTAGAATTGTAAGTCGTAACTATTAAAATTAATTTTATATTATTTTGTTACAAAATAAGCTACAAGTCAATTTTCGGTGATGGTGAAAAAAATTATTTCTTCTTATGCCTTGTGTGAAATGGCCAAACAAGTCAATTTTATAGTAGAATGTCTAGCGGCCATTGTCGATTGAAGTAATTAAATACAAATATGCAAAAATTAAACAACAAATTTGTTACACTTAAAAACCATAGACCAAAATTGACATGAGATACAAAGCAAGGAGTATTAATGTGATTTGTCATTTTGATTAACATGCACTAATGGCTATAGCAAAACAAGCTAAATTGTTACTATGAGCTTGTCTCAAAGAACGTACAATTATTAGATGATGTGAGAATTTTGAAATATAGAAATCTCAAGATATAATCAATCTATGAATGTTTTGGAACATAGCGACAAGAAGATTTGAGATAGAAAATCACATACTTACTCAAAAATAAAATGAGCATACTGTTATATACAAAACATAAATACCAAATGTTCATAATCAATTAATTTACCAAACCCCAACCAAAAACATCCATGATTTGTGCATCAATCATTAACAAACCAAAAGCCATAATATACCTTACTAGAAGTAAAACCCACCCTAATTTCTTAATGACACAAAAATACTACATATCCATAACCAGTTGAGTACTAATAAAACTCCTTTCTACCCAAACAAAAAAAAAAAAAACTTGTCTTCTTCTTCTTGTTCTTCTATATCAGTCAAGATCAAACCAAAAATCATAAGTTATCTTACTTGACGGATTAGAGAAATAGCTTTGTTTACTCGCGGATCAATTCTACCGTCCTCAAGTAGAGTTGAAGTTGGTAGATTTAGAACTTCTTCAATTCTCTTTCAATTTCTGCCATCTTGTTAAGAGCACCTTCTTTTAGAATTGGTTTCCCATGAACCATATCCTTGTTATTGTTAGTTGCATCAAGTTTAGCAGCATTAGTTTGAAAATCCCAGATCTTTTGGGACATATCATAGACTTGTTGGTCATGGGGGTTGGAGGGCAATTTAGCTTTGGTGGCATTGGTCTTGTATTTATTCTTTAACTTGCGAACTTTGTCGGACAATTGGATCTTGGTATCATAAACATGAATAGGATTCTTGATGAAAAGGAAAAAAGCATTCATGTCGGTAGAAGGCTCCACACCTTTGGTGGCAGTGTAGTCAATAATGCCCTAGAGAATCGCAATGTCATCATTAGCACTCCACAACCTCTAAAAAAACACCTTTTTCAAAGCAAAAGTAGTACAAGTAGTAGCTGTAGTAGTCTTGTTCAACGTGTCCTCAACCCCATCCGCATTCACATCCACTTTCACTGCCTTGGCCCTCTTCGACTCTCGATTCTCGCTCTTAACAACAAGGCATTTGAGGGTGGGGTTAGATACGGGCTTCTAACTCAGTACTGGGTTTCTCCCTCTATAGAAATGGCACAAAGTGGAATCTTAGCATGTAATCGACCTTGAACCTTACACTACAACATTTTTAACAATTTAATTTAACTTGAGTCATCTCTTTAATATTGGAACGAGTACTCGATGTTTGGTTGCTAACAAAGTTAGTTATGGAATCAATAGAGTAAGATAACTTATGATTTTTGGTTTGATCTTGACTGATATAGAAGAATAAGAAGAAGAAGACAAGTTTTTTTTTTTTTTTTTGGACAGGAAGGAGTTTTATTAATACTTAACTGGTTATGGATATGCAATATTTTTGTGTCATTAAGACATTATGGTGGGTTTTACTTCTAATAAGGTATATTATGGCTTTTGGTTTGTTAATGATTGATACACAAGTCAATGATGTTTTTAGCTAATTGTTTGTTTTTGGTTGGGGTTTGGTAAATTAACTTATTATGAATATTTTGTATTTATGTTTCGTATATAACAATATGCTCATTTTATTTTGGAGTATGTATGTGATTTTCTGCCTCAAATTTTCTCGTCCCTATGTTCCAAAACATTCGCAGTTTGATTATATCTTGAGATTTCTATATTTCAAAATTCTCACATCATCTAATAATTGTACATTCTTTGAGACAAGCCTCATAGTAACAATTTAGCTTGTTTTGCTATAGCCATTGGTGCATGTTAATCAAAATGACAAATCACATTAATACTCCTTGCTTTGTATCTCATGTCAATTTTCGTCTTTAGTTTTAAGTGTAACAAATTTGTTGTTTAATTTTGCATATTTATATTTAATTACTTCAATCGATAATAGCCACTAGACATTCTATATACCAAAATTGACTTGTTTGGCCATTTCACACAAGGCATAAGGGGAAATAATTTTTTTCACCTTCACCAAAAATTCCTTTCTACACCCATTATCCATAGTGAAAAATCTAGAAATCCCCTAGATGCTGATTTGTGATTGTGTATCAATTTTAAGCAGTATATAACAATCCCAATCAAACAATCAAGACAAATCGACACAACGATTTTACGTGGATAAACCACAATTGGACACCTCCAATTGTGATAAAAAAAATCACGGGCAACAGCCACAAAACAATCCACTAAGAAGATATAAAGGAATTACACAGGAATACTCTCAATTACCTAGCGAATCCACGCCCGAATTGAACCAACCTCTATGTGTGTCTTCCAACCCCGTCTTCACCTCGGAATTGTCTTGACGATGAGCCACTCCGGAATCCACCAAAGCTTCAGGCTCAAATTCTTCAGAATCCATCGAAGAACAACTCTCTCTTTTGTGTAGAACAAACAAATAATCCTTTGATGTATACTCTTTAAACCATGAGTTAAAACATCAAAGAAAACTAGCAAAATATCTCAGGATATAAACCCTAAAACCCAAGAAGAAGATCTGGAGAAGTAATCCTAAATTTGGAGTGAAACACTTATTTATAGAAAACTGTCCCGCGATCTCCGCTCGAGCGTCAGATTGGCTGCTCGAGTGGACATACGCTCGAGCGCGAAAAGTTCCGCTCGAGCAGGAAAAAAACATCTAGTATTTTTGCAAGCGAGTAAACTTCTGGAACTCAGCATTCTCCGCTCGAGCGGGGGATGTCCGCTCGAGCGGACAGGCAATTTGGAATGCATTTTTGCATTTTGCGGTGC